ATCATGTGATTGTACGATCTGGTTGGGCTATTGACCTCTAGTCAATCAAATCGCACAAGCATCCATGAAATATTTAGTTGATCGCTTACTTTTAGTAGTCTTTGTGTATGTGTATAAATAGTTGTTAAATCGTGACGATTCCATACGAAGCTATTAAAATGTTATTCAGTTATTTGTTGCGCTATAATGCATATAAAGTATTGATTTTTATTTTGAACGAAAACGGTAAGATCGCCTGCATTTCCCATTAAAAACGACATCGAATAACAATAGAATTGATTTATTTTTTCTACATATTTTTTAGCCCCAAAACCTTAATTGTCCTTTCACAGATGTTGCTATTTACATATGACTATATGCATAGATTCGATTTACACATGTACAACAGATATAGAACTTTACTTAAGATCAAGCGTTTTAGGTTTCGTGCTCACGTCGTGCAAGCTAACTACGTTATAAGCAGAGACGCAGGGCTCGAGCTTGTTCTTAAATATATCGTTTTCGGATTTCGAGGAGCATATAGAACCTCCGATTTCTGAATGGCTGGAGTCAGGTAACGTGGCCCTCAGTTCGTGGTTACTAACTGAAGTGTTTAACTGGAATTGTTTCGCATAGAGAGTGTCCATCTTATTGTGTTTGGCTATAAGGGAAGGCAAGATGAATACTTTAAAAGTTAAAGAAAATCGAACATACCATCAATGACACACAACTTGGGTCCTCCGGTCCTGTGAGAAGCCAATCTCGCCTCATCACTGCCGCCCATCGAGGACTCTTCTATGTGGGAGAAGCTCTCCTGCGGCGAAATGGTGGACAGCACAGATGTGCTGGAGTATAGGTAGCCCGAGAAGTATACATCCGGATTCGCCTCATGGGCCTTACAGGGCACAATCCAGGAGAAACTGAAAGCCGCGGGATTAACCTCCTGGGTCAGCCATGGATCGGTTATCAACTGGTGCATGGTACACCGGTATTTGGGATCCTTGTTCAACATGGAACTCAGTAGACGGCTTAATTGTTCGGACACCGCTTTTGGTATCTGGATTTCCGCCTTCAGGGTTTCCTCCACATCGATGAACGGGTTTTCGAAGAACATCAGGACGTACAGGGTAACGCCCAGGGCCCAAATTTCCAGCTCGGGACCCACGTACCTATTTCCGGCCAGAACTTCAGGACTGCAATACTCAGTGGTGCCGTAAAACGTCGAAAAGAACTTGCCCTCTTCCATGAAGGTCGCCGAACCAAAGTCGATCAGCTTTATGTTAAAATTATGATCGATTATAATATTCTCGTCCTTTATATCACGATGCAGTATCTTCTGTTCATGCAAATAGTTGACAGCATCCGCGACCTGCCGAAAGATATAGCTTCCCAGTTTTTCATCCATCAGCGGGCGCCGTTCAATGAATGTCCACAGGTCCATTCCGGAACCGTGCTTCTCCATCACCAGCTGATAGAACAGGTCATTTTCGAATACATCCAGTACAGACACAATATTCTTGTGGTTGAGGGTCTGCAGTAGATGGATCTCAATAGGAACTTCTTTGCAATCGCGGTTCTTGACCATAAACTGCGAGCAGAGCTTCTCCTTCAGAATGAACTTGGTGATGACCAGCAGGCGATCGCTGTTTCTAAAGGCCATGTTCACATACCCGTAGGCACCCCTTCCGATCTGCCGAATTGAAGTATAGTGCTTGCTGTAGTCGCCCAGATAAAGCTCATCCTCGTATTTGGACACCAGGGACAGCGAGTTGGGTCGACTGGAGTTCTGGGCAGCAGTGGTCTTTATGACCTGACCCAGCGACTGCTCAATGGTGCTGGCCATGCTGTTGAATGTGGACGTTAGATTCGCATAGTTGTACTTTTCACCATCCAGTCGGGTGCTGGGATTTCGGCACACCCAGATGCAGTACACCCGATTGGAGCAGGGCAGGATCTGGAGGAGCACAGAGTAGACGACCTCTATCACAGAGCCATCGGCATGGACGGCCTCGCCCACAAAGCTTCCGTTGATGGAACTCAGTAGCCTGGTGGCGGGATTACTACCGGAGGCATCACATGTCTCCGTGGACACGGACTTTGCCTTGTCGAGGCCCATCTCGTTTATATGTGAGTGGGATCCCCCCTCGAACTCATCGGCGGGGAAACTATTCGAGGCATTGACGGGTGTTAGGATATCATCTATTGTACAATCATCTGGCTGTCGGAGATCGCAGAACAACCCACCACTGTTCTCCAGATTGCAGCTCAGGTGGGCATCACTCACCGAGGAGGGTTCGTTGTTGGGTGGGACCTTCTTCTTGCACGACTGCAGCGAGGAGTCGTTGTCCAGGACAAACGGATCAGTATCCGGCTCCCAGTCGTTGCTGGTTATCGAGGTGTTCGACACATTGGGGCTCTTATCCTCACGGGAGTCCTTCCCGAAATTGGGTAGTATAGCGGATATATGCATATTCAAGATCTTGTCCTGGCCATAACCGAACATCAGCAGCGAAAATGGCTGATTGCACATCAATATGTTGCCTATATCGTCCACCACAATAAGTCCACTGAGATTCTGAAAGACCCACACGGTAATGTTGAACACGGTGTATCCTCCTGTTCCTGTCCCTGCATTCTCATCCAGGGCTATCAGTAGACACAGAGGGAACTTCACATTATCCGTGGTTCGGCCCGTGGCTCTCTGCTTGCGCAGGCTCTTCGGGATCTCCCTGCTGTCCGGATCGGGTAGCTTTATAAACGGGATCAGAGCGGTGATATTGACGCCCACCATGCTTTCGGTGGATTCGTAGAAGAATATGGTAGCCGTGGTGGCGTCAACGGATGTTATTACCCCGAATCTATCGGTGCTTATGTGGCATATGTGCCTTTCCACGGGCTCGGCAACGGCTATGTGCCTGGCATCATTACTAATCTGGCGTATCCAGAGCGAAACCAAAATCTTGTTGCTCGACTTGGTCTTCATTTCGATGACCTTTCCGCTTAGCAGAACCACTCGTCCCTCGTCGCCCTCGATCTGCATCTCCGCCAGCGATGAGATGTGACTTTCCGTCTTGCCATTGAGCAGATCGAAGAACCCCTTGTTCCTCAGCTCCTGGGATGTGTAGCCCAGCAATTGGCAGGCCTTGTTGTTCACTATAAAAATCTGTCCCGTATTCGCGTCTATGGTGAATATCGCCTTGTTTGGATTGATCACCTTCGAGGAGTGGAGATTTGGAGGCGGCATACTGAAGGAACTGGCATCCATTAAATTCAGCATGGTCGACGAGTTTTGGCGACTTTGACACTGAGTTCCCACAATGGGGTCATCTAAGAATAGTACGAGTTTGTAAATAATTAAGTACTTCTCTTGTTTTTATTTTACCAACTTTACCGTTAGCACATCGGTTTTTGGGGCCTTGGGCTTTTGAACTACTCAGCTTACCAACGGCTTGGTCCATCACATCGCCCTGATCCTCCATTTAAAAGTCGAATATTTTCCAAGTCCCAGCAAATCCAACTTGAGGCCTTAAACTGCATCCAAAAGAGCTCACTATAAACATTGGAACTCCGTTTACAAAAAATCAATGGATTGGCGCATGCGACGAAGGGATTTACCCAGTGGGTCGAAAGGAATGCAGCCCCATTTAGTTAGATAGTTTTTTCCTATGTAACAGGTTTTTTTCACGAAAATTTACCCTAGTATCTGAAAAATAACTATTTCCGGGTACATTTTAAGCTAAAATAAATTTTATCCCAAAAGTTTTTAAATGTACCGCTTACTAAAACTATCCAGCCCTGTCTAAACATCGATATCATGGCTCTGAGTATCGATAACAGCTCAGAATACATATATATAAACTGGGCCTAGCTACGTGTGGAAAAATATCAGAGAGCAATACAAAACGTATTGTACTTCCACACAGGAAGGTTTTTTTTTCGTTTTCCCAACAAGTATTTAGTGCAGTGCACACTCGAATAAAAAGAAATACGAAGAAAATGCCACGAATATCCAATATCTCCATTCCCGTGGGAGTTTTCCTGCTTATCAACCTGATGATAAGTGTAGACGGCCTTGTAAAAGAGGGGGATTACCAGAACTCCGTGTATCAACAGAATCTGGAGTCAAACTCCGCAACAGGCTCAACGGCATCCTTTCCATTCCTGATGCCCAAGGTTTCCCCGCAAACCGTAAGTTCCCCGCCCTAAATATATATACTATATATCCAATACTATTGGATCCATATGGATGATAACATTTACGTATTTTTGCGTATATGTATATTTTTTAATCAACAAAAACACAAATATACGGAATGTGGGTTAATCTATTGAGGACGTGCAAATTTACATCTATTCTGTTTGGGAAAAACCTTTCGCATACTGTGCAATTTTTTCCATATGTTAGTTAGGCGTATCGAATACACACGATGCGACACCCACATGTAATGCCTTAAAAACGAAACCTGTAGATTGCACTTCTCGAACCTGCGCCGTAGATACAAAATTCTTTTTACGATGTTGGGGTGGCGAAAAAGGGCATACAGCCTTGGTTTCTCAAGGCACATATTTGAATAATACTTGTTGACTAATCCAATATGCTCGTTCTCTTTAACAAAACTAACAACACGAATATAGCCCGATCTGTACTTGTGCACGCCCATCAAAGTCGACCCCACTACCACCTATTATATAGGTATGTTCTTGTCCACAGAATTCGTTCCATAGTTATATTAAAACTGATTGTTCTAACTCGAATAGTTGGCTTCAATCCCAATGCTACCATGAACACGGCCCACCATATGCTGCTCTACGGATGCGGAGAGCCTGGAACCACGAAGACCACTTGGTGAGTTGCTCAGCGAATCCCAATGGACCTAATTGACATTTTAATATTTTTCCAAATAGGAACTGTGGTGAGATGAACCGAGCTTCCCAGGAGGAGTCGGCCAGTCCCTGCGGACCCCATTCTCATTCTCAGGTACGAAATAGCCCAATTAAGCCAGGAGTTAGAGACTAGACATTTATGAGGCACACAAATTTTGGGGACTCGGATCGATGGGTTGGCAGTCGAGGCAGACGGGTTGTCCTTGGTGGATCCCAAACTCAGAGGCGGTGATCTTTCGGTGGCACTCGTGGCACCTGAAGCACTTCAAATGCCACTTGGTGCTCAGCGCGACAACGGCTCGTTCATCGATTGGTTTCGCACAGCCGGCACAGCGGGACGAAAACAGTTCCCGAAAATGTGACTTGCAGAAGAGGTATCCGTTAATTTCGAAAAAGGTCGCCGAGATCAGCGGTCTGCTGCAGCTCACGCACCGGAAACACTTTTCGTGCCACTTGCGCCCGCCGGTGGCCACGCCGCGCTCCAGGATCTGAGCCCGGCAGGCGGAGCACCGAGCGACATGCTTGCCCAGATAGCACTCACTGCATACCACCTCGTCAGCCACCGCGAAGAACAGCTTAGGATCCACCACTAGGCCGCATTCCGTACAGGTGAAGTGGTGCGGATGGTACGACTTGCCCAAGCTTTTGATGGCCCTGGGCCAAATCTCCTCGTTGCATCTGCAGCAAATAGAAGGGGACATACTTCAAAACAGGCTCTCTGGACAGAACAATTAAAAATTTTAGAGGAAATGTCTAGGCATATATTTCCTATATCAAAATTTGACTTAATCTGACATACGTGGCGGTGCCTACAAGGTTAATGCCAGCTTAAAATAGAGCTAAGTCACTTTTGTCTATATTCTGTAACAGAATCTTGGTTTCATTTTGAAGACCTTTCAATATGGCCAATCTTAAGATTAAGTTAATGACAGATGTGGGTTTCATTATCTTTATTGGTAACATTTGACTTGATTCTAAAAAGATAAAGAATCTGGAAAAGTTATTAGTGTTACCTTTTTTTGTTAAGCAAAATAGTAATTTTTTGGAAACTTTACCAAATTAAAATAAAATGGTCTATCAATCTGTTTTAATGGACTTTTCATCGTACAATCGTACGTGCAAAGGTGCTAATAAATAAGTTAAATATAATAACCAATATTTACTGAACCTTTACTTTTCTTTACACAGATCATATATGCTTGGGCTAGAGACGCGCAAAAGCTGAATTTGCCCGAAGGAGTGGGTTTCAAGGTGGGCAAGAACTCGCCCACCAAGTACTTGGTACTGCAAGTTCATTATGCCCACATTGATAAATTCAAAGGTGAGTTCTTGAAATCAATCTTTCGAAAGAAATTATAAATGTAATTTTATTCAGATGGTTCGACCGATGATTCAGGGGTGTTCTTGGATTACACAGAAGAGCCGTAAGTTCTAAAGTACTATTCCATGACACAACACTTAAAGAACTATTCTTCCATAGTCGTAAAAAGTTGGCTGGCACTCTATTGCTGGGCACAGACGGACAGATTCCGGCCATGAAAACGGAGCATTTGGAAACCGCTTGCGAAGTGAATGAGAAAAAGGTGCTGCATCCTTTCGCCTACCGCGTGCACACCCACGGACTGGGAAAGGTGGTGTCTGGCTACAGGGTCAGGACCAATAGCGATGGGGAACAGGAGTGGCTGCAACTTGGCAAGAGGGATCCCCTCACGCCCCAGATGTTCTATAACATCAGCAACAGGGATCCCATTGTCGAGGGAGATAAGATAGCCGTCAGGTGTACTCTGCAAAGTACCCGCCATCGAATAACCAAAGTCGGGTAAGTACCAGGTTGTACCCAAAAAAATACCCTTAATAATCCAATTCCCCATTTACAGCCCCACGAACGAAGATGAAATGTGCAATTTCTACCTCATGTACTACGTGGATCAGGGCGAAACTCTGAACATGAAATTCTGCTTTAGTCAGGGCGCTCCCTACTACTACTGGTCCAATCCCGACACTGGCCTACACAACATCCCACATATCGAGGCGAGCACTTTGTAATCTGGCTGTCGAGAGCGTGAAATCAGCTGCGGAAAGCGAAACGAATGTATACTACTTTATTGTCTCGATTATTTTATCGTTTACAACTATTGATGATGGTTTAGCGTCATTCTGTATCCTATTCTGTTGGCCACCAATAATTTATGTAAAATATTTGTGCGTGTAAATAAACATATGTAGATAATTCGCGAGAACCGAGTGGAAATCCTATTAATTGAATTTGGAGCAATTAGCTGATCGCCGACAAGGTTAATCTCCCCGCTTCTACAAAGAAAATGCCACGAACATCCAATATCTCTATTACCGTGGGAGTCTTCCTGCTGATCAACCTGATGATAAGTGTAGACGGCCTTGTAAAAGAACACAATCTGGAGTCGAACTTCGCAACAGGCTCATTGGCATCCTTTCCAATCCTCATGCCCAAGGTTTCCCCGCAAACCGTAAGTTCCCCGCCCTAAATAAAGTATATATCCAATACTATTCGATCCATATGGATGATTACATTTCCGCAGTTTTGCGTATATATTTTTTAATCAACAAAAAAGCACAAACGTGGGTTAATCTATTGAGGACGTGGACATTTACATCTATTCTGTTTGGGAAAAACCTTTCGTATACCGTGAAATTTGTTCCATATGTTAGTTAGGCGTATCGAATACACACGATGCGACACCCACATGTAATGCCTTGAAACCGAAACCTGTAGATTGCAATTCTCAAACCTGCGCCGTAGATTCAAAACTCTTTTTACGATGTTGGGGTGGCGAAAAAGGGCATACAGCCTCGGTTTCTCAACGCACATATTTGAATAATACTTGTTGACTAATCCAATATGCTCGTTCTCTTCAACAAAACTGACAAAACGAATATAGCCCGATCTGTACTTGTGCACGCCCATCAAAGTCGACCCCACTACCACCTACTATATAGGTAAGAACATACCACAGAATCCACAGAAATCGTTCCATAGTTATATTAAAACTGATTGTTCTAACTCGAATAGTTGGCTTCAATCCCAATGCTACCATGAACACGGCCCACCATATGCTGCTCTACGGATGCGGAGAGCCCGGAAACACGAAGACCACTTGGTAAGTTGCTCAGCGAATCCTAATTTACCTATTGATATTTAAATATATTTCCAAACAGGAACTGTGGTGATATGAACATAGCTTCCCAGGAGCAGTCGGCCATTCCTTGCGGATTCCGCTCTCATTCTCAGGTACGAAATAGCCCAAATAAGCCAGGAGTTAGAAACTAGACATTTATGAGGCACACAAATTTTGGGGACTCGGAACGATGGGTTGGCAGTCGAGGCAGACGGGTTGTCCTGGCTGGCAAGGAATTGGTCGGGAAATAATATGAAACAAATTATAGTTTCGGTATTTTTTAACATATAACCTCCTACGCTTGGAAATAACATTTCTTAATTAGTTCTGAATTTCGAATTTAATTTTATTAAAATCGAACGACTATATCATATAGCTGCCATAGAAACGATCACAAAATTGGTGGGACAATAATATGAAACAAATTATAGTTTCGGTGTTTTTTGACACATTATCTTATACTATTGGAAATATAATTTTTTGTATTTTTAAAGTTAAAATTTATAACTGCAAGGGTAACAAACTTCGGCTTGCCGAAGTTAACTTCCTTTCTTGATTTTTGTAAAGTTTATTAAATTAAAATGGTGCAAAGGTGCTAATAAATAAGTTAAAAATAATAACCTTTTCTTATCTTTACACAGATCATATATGCTTGGGCTAGAGACGCGCCAAAGCTGAATTTGCCCGAAGGAGTGGGTTTCAAGGTGGGCAAGAACTCGCCCACCAAGTACTTGGTACTGCAAGTTCATTATGCCCACATTGATAAATTCAAAGGTGAGTTCTAAAAGGCAATCTTATGAAAGGAATTATAAAAATGTTTTTATTCAGATGGTTCGACCGATGATTCAGGTGTGTTCTTGGATTACACAGAAGAGCCGTAAGTTCTTAAGAACAATAGTTCTATTCTATTCAAAACACTTAAAAAACTCTTCTTCGACATAGTAAAAAGTTGGCTGGCACTTTATTGCTGGGCTCAGACGGAAAGATTCCGGCCATGAAAACGGAGCACCTGGAAAACGCTTGCGAGGTGAATGAGAACAAGGTGCTGCATCCTTTCGCCTACCGCGTGCACACCCATGGACTGGGAAAGGTGGTGTCTGGCTACAGGGTCAGGACCAATAGCAATGGGAAACAGGAGTGGCTGCAACTTGGCAAGAGGGATCCCCTCACGCCCCAGATGTTCTATAACATCAGCAACAGGGATCCCATTGTTCAGGGAGATAAGATTGCCGTGAGGTGTACTCTGAAAAGTACCCGCCATAGAATAACCAAAGTCGGGTAAGTACCAGGTTGTACCCAAAAAAATACCCTTAATAATCAAATTCCCCATTTACAGCCCCACGAACGAAGATGAAATGTGCAATTTCTACCTCATGTACTACGTGGATCAGGACGAAACTCTGAACATGAATTTCTGCTTCAGCAAGGGCGCTCCCAACTATTACTGGTCCAATCCCGACACTGGCCTACACAACATTCCACATATCGAGGCGAGCACTTTGTAACTTTGTACTTTATTATCTCGATTATCTTATCGTGTACAACTATTGATGATGGTTTAGCGTCATTCTGTATCCTATTCTGTTGGCCACCAATAATTTATGTAAAATATTTGTGCGTGTAAATAAACATATGTAGATAATTCGCGAGAACCGAGTGGAAATCCTATTAATTGAATTTGGAAACAATTAGCTGATCGCCCACAAGGTTAATCTCCCCGCTTCTACATATCGTATATAGTAGGAAACAACAATTCCGCAACGCAGTTAAATGAAACTCATCCATCGTAAATGTTTTCAATGCAAAGCATTTTATTCTCGTTCTTTTTTTTTGTTTTGTATATATAGAATTTATGGAATATATAGTATTTATCTGTATACATATATATATATATATAATTTGGTGTAAAATTATAAACGTACAATTAGATTAGTTATAAATTACACAAAACTTAAATATCTCTCACATTTTATAATAACTTGCAAACTCGTACTTGTTAGTGTTAAATTCTAAATGACTACCGGTTGGCTGAGGAGGTAGGTCCTCAAATGTGTAGGCTAGCAGAGCTCCGTTGTTATCCTGTGCGGCGTAGTTGAGATCATTGTGTGTTTCAATTACATTTCCGGTGTAGTCTTGTTGGGTGTATGTACAAGTGCTCTCGATGGCGTCCGCCTCCACGAAGCTGCTCCCATTGAAGCCGATCTGCGGCGAGTTGGAGGTGGTCAGTATGCTGCAGTCGCTGTCCTCGGCGGCCGACGGGATCGGGTTGAAGTCGTCGTTCTGGAATGTGTGCCCACCATCCGGTCCGCCGTAGGGCAGGGTGCAGGTCATGGTCATGGTCACCGTCTGGGGCCGCACCACCTCGAACTCCACCTGGTGCGAGGAGTTGTCCCCGCCGCAGTCATCCGCAAAGCAGTCGTGGTTGTCAGGCACATATGGAGGTATTTGATGGCTGGCCGAGTGCAAGTTGGCATCGTTCACAATATTGTCCTCGGAGTCGAACACGGGCTCGCTGAGGGCGCCATCCAGCAGGCTGGACTCCACCTTGAGGGTGTGCCCATCGCTGGAGGGATTCGCCTCCAGGTAGGGCAGATACCGCATCACCTCCATGGACATGTCCTCGCGGTTGATGGGGCTAATGTCGGAGATGCTGTCTATCAATCCTGCGGTGGGATCCGACTGGTTGTGGTGGCTCTGCGACGAGGAGTTGACCTCCAGCTGCGAGTCCTCGTTGCTGGGGAAGAAGAACTGTGGAAGGAATCTTTGGACCACGTCCGACAGATTATCCCGCGACTCCAGCGGACCCGAGCTCAGGTCTGAGTGTAGCTTTTCGTCGCAATCGGCATTGCTATTCGTGCTTAGAGGTAAATATTCAGATGATTGGTAGCTTAATAGATTATCGGCTGAGGGTAGTATAATATCCACGGTGTTGTGCTGCTCTGCAGACTCCCCCTTGACCTCGTACTTGGCCCTGGGGGTATCACCCGAGTCGTTCCTTAATCGTTTCGAAACGGAACCTGTTTGACATGTAGAGGTAGATCTTTTGCTTTTACGACCGGCAGTGGTGGTTCCATTAATTGGGACAGTGGACAGTGTGGTGTTGGGCGTGTCATTTTTAGCTTCGCAGCTGTCTGCGTCCTGATTCTGCTTCAGCGATCCCGGGGATCGCGTCTGCTTCTTCTGGGGCCTGTACTTGTAGTTGGGATACTCGATCATGTGCAGCTTCCGGAGCTTCTCGGCCTCGATGATGTACGGCTGCTTGTCGTCCTTGCTGAGGCGCTGCCATCGGCGGCCCAGCTCCTTGGAGATCTCGGCGTTGTGAAGGTCCGGCGTCCGCTCGCAGATCTTCCGCCGTTCCATCTGGCTCCACACCATGAAGGCATTCATAGGTCGCTTAATATGGCCGGGAGAATGTTTCTTGGTCTGCAAGAAAGGGGAAAGGGGTTGGTTAAGTACTCATACTTATAGATAATGTATAACTTGACGTATTACTCATTATAAACTAGAAGTAGTTAAGAAACATTTGTCTATGAAACTGTTTAGCAACTATATATTGGATTGTAAACAAAAGATTTGAATGCTAAAAAAAAAAATTCAATATAGTATTTAAAAGACCGTTAGCAGTGATAATAAATATATTTAAATTGAATCATCACTTTACTATAAAACATGCTATACAACCGTACTAACTCAGTTAATCATATTTGCGATGCAAATATAAATCCCTAACCAGCTAAGCTAAAAGATATTGCTTCAATTATTACCCTAGGTAAGGGGTGAAAAGTACTTTACAATTTTCCAACCCAAGAAAACTGAGCAATATGTAACCCATACATATGCTTAAAATTACTTCCGGCAGTTCCCAGCAAATAAATTATTACACTCCCTTGTTTTCACAAATTATGGAACAACGAAATTTCCTTTACTTTTTAAAAACCGCAAATATGTAGGTAGATACGCTCCGGTAATTCGTTCATGCGAAAAACACATTCACCTATTATACTTTTGCGTATATAAATGTTCATTGCATATTAACGTATCACAGATAAAGAGTTAGGAAATAAAATTCACACCAGAGGTGTACAATATACGTATATAGTACGTCCATCTGAACGTTTGTGAGTTTGCGTCGACATATATGCATTTTGTGTACCGCCTTGTCTATGTCCGTATGTATTGCATTTGTGTCTGTACGAAAATACGTATTCGCAGCGTTTGAAGTTCAATGTCCCTCGCCAAGGTTAATAAAACGCTCCTAAAACGAAATATGGTTTGTGTTTGTATGTATTTAAATGTGTTTCTGTTTCGGTTGTTAAGATACACGGACAAGTGGCTCTGTACCGATGCCGAGCATGCATTAATTCGCATCTGCTTCCTGGTTTCCCGATCCCAAATAATCCCTTCGATCTGGAATCTGGGATCTCAGATCCGGGATCTGGTATCTGGGAAGTCCAATTAGCAATCTCGTTAGGCCAGACCCATCATCATCATACCATTTGGAATAGGCAGAGGTTAGGGTTATAGAGGTATAGGTCAGAGCAGCGGTGACGCGTCGCCTCGTTTGGCCAATGTGAATAACCGTTTTATTCTCGCCGCGAGAGACGGCAGAAACTACCTATTAATAGCGTTAACTTCGACCTTGCAGCAGTTCGTGTACCTCGCGAGTTCATCCACATCCACAGCCACAGCCACATCCGAAGTAGAGGCGATACCCTTGGCAGTACCGAGTTGAACTGAACTGAGTCGAAATGCGAAAAGCTGAGCGGGCTGAGTGGAGCAGACTTTCAGCTGAAACGGCGAGCGATGGTATATGGTATTGGGGCCGACGGGATGCGATGCTCCATCGGCCATTGCCTTTGCCTTTGCCATTGCCATTGCCGTTGCCTTTGCCCTCGCAACTCTGCTCCGAAACTCACTCTCAATGTCGCCGACATCGTCGTCGTGGTCGTCGTCGTCGTCAGTCAGACAGTTCAGTTCAAGTCTAATAAGCAGCCCGACTCTTGTAGACACAACACACTCATACCACCACCATTCCAGGGCCCAAACAGACACACAGATACCGATTCCACAGGCCAGAAGTTGCAGACACCCGCATCCGTGGGATACAGATACAAATACATGCACATTCGCACTTTGGGGAACAAGTAAAAGTGATGAAATGGGGCTGGGGCTGGGGCTTTCGATTTTAACCGTTCTTGCCGCACGCTTAGATCCTAAGGTCATCAGCTCGAATACTATATTAAATACATTTTTTGCAGTAAAGATAAACATGTAGCCGCAGAAGTCAACGACTTGGTACATATGTATTCAGTTCTCGGTTCTATATGTGCGAGTAATACGCAATTGAGTTTTCTGTTCGTGACGCCAAAGGCGAAAGGCGAAGCCATTGCCTCCTCCAACCATCCGCACTAATAACCGTAAAAAACAAACTGCTAAGCAAGGTCAATGCACCAAATGTGCTATGTGTGCTATGTGCGCGCATTTATATACTACACTTAACTTATTAGATAGGAGTCGACGAGTGCACTCCTGGCCATATCCATACATTTGGGGCTCCTATACCCGAATGTCTGGTAAACAAGATGACGAATAGATGGCTAGATCGTAATAAGGAACTTGTGTTTTGACAAAAACATATCAGCATATATAGAATGATAAACAAATGAGTATCGGTCGGACACAGTTAAGCAGCGCAAATTATAGACGTTCTATCCGCCCGAACAGCATATCCATCCGCACACTGGACTGGCACCAGATACATATCTACAATATACTTATATGCAAGCTCGACAAATAATGTGAGTCATCAGGGAAGCGAAACGCGAGTACGAGTACAACCGCCCCGTAAATGCACGGGGACAAAAACTGCACTTCCACGCGCTCCACGAATGTATCTATGGTCGGGAGCTCGGAATCATCGATGGCAGTGCTCCCGGGAGTCCAAAATAACCATCCATCAATATTTTCTGGTACTGGGTATTTCATCATAATAAGTCAGAAGTGAAGTTGAGCTTTTATGATCAAGCGCAAATAAATACAAACGTACATTCGATTGCTAATCTACATGAATTGTTTTGCCGTGCTCTTGTATTTGTAAACAAAGAAAATAATCGCAAAAAAACTTGAATCTAATCTGGGGGAAATCTTATCAGTCAAACTTTTTGTTGACCTGTCCGGTCTGGAAAAAGTATTTGTGTGTGTGTACTCTATATGTAGGTCTCTCTGCCGAATATCAAGTACGTTTCGCCTTGACGAGACAGCTGTGGGTGGGTTGTTTATCTAAGTAGTGCCCATTAGAGCTGATAAGAAGTGCATCGCTGGCGTGAATTTCGCTTCGGTTGATTGGGCACACAGACACGAGGGGACGGATCTTGCTATCGAGACGAGATCAGGCCACCGGATAGGGGATTTGGAAGCAAAATGACGTGTCCCCCAAAATGCATCCCTGTCTGCACAGCAAGAAAACTAGTCTAGTTCTTGGTCTTTCTAATATATGATTATATTGGAATAAACTTTAAGCATAGATATGTTTTTGGTGTAACTCGATGGTCGAAGAGCCCTACCTGAAACCTTCCGTCTACCTCAAGCACAAAATCGGTTTGACCCCAGAACTTGATCCGATTTTCCCTCAGTGTCGACAAGGCAGTGTTACTCACTCGAGTTGCATCCGAATACGGGGTGCTGGAGTTGACAGGAACCCGTGCAGATCCGAACACCAGGCTGGAATCGATGCCGTTCATGTTCAGTGTCATTTCATGGCCGCTGTGGCTCGGAGATCTTTCGCCGTCCATGTCCATATTGGATTGGTGTTGGTATTGGGATTGGGATTGGGCTTGGGCTTTGGGTTCGGGTGTGAGTGTGACTGTGACTGTGGGGGTTACGAGGTGGGAGTTGAGGGTGTTGGGGTTCGGGGCCTTCGGGGTTCTCGGTGCAGCTGCAGCAACAGGCGCGGAAGGCGAAGCCACAGCCGCTGGATGAGTAATAGCTGGCTGGCTTTGTGTGTTTTCTGTTTCGGGGGTTGACGCAGGCGGAGTGCGGGGTGTCTCCGGTTTTGGGGCTGGATTCCTTGGCTGGATACTCGCTGGATTCGCTGGGGTGGTTGCTGGAACCGTTGGCACTGTTCCGGGGCAAAAACTCAATGGTGGTTCGGTGGTGGCCTGATTGGGCTTAGCTATCATCTTTCAGTGCGTTTGGTTTTGGACTGGCCTGTGCATATGCATCTGCATCTCAATCTCAATCTCAGTATCGGTGTCGATGATATCGGTATCTGTGTCCCAGGGCAGTTCTTCCGATTCCGATCCCCGCTTAAACATAGTCGCAGAAACAGTGGCAGTGGGGTTACCGATAAGGCGGAGGGTTCGGTTTCTCCAGGGCTTTATCACCAATTATATATATATTTATGTGCTATGTACCACACATGTACTATATATATGCACTGTAGTCGCAGTCAGATCGGGCTGTTTCATTTGGCACACACTGATGCACATATGCGATGCACGTGTGTGAGTGTGCACTAGGTATTGCTCCTCAAGGTGAAACTGGTTCCTCGTTATTTATTTATTTTTTTTTTTGCTTTTGGTTTTTTGTTTGCAATATTCCAAGACTCACGTTCGCTGCGTCCGTGTAATGAGCTTGTCTACTGGTGTGCGTGTCTCTCACTCTCACACTCGCACTGGTTAAATTTTATTAATTTATAAATGCACTGAAACTGAATTAAATAGATTGGCTCGCATTTATGTGCAGAGAGTTTACACACGTTTGTAACGATATATGTATGTGCGGTGTACTTATGTGGTGGCTATGTATTTATGCTTGTGTGGTGGTCACTAATCACTAATACTGCTGCACTCGCGTTTTTGGCTGTGTTTGTTTGTTTTACGTGTTGATTTTGAAACAGCAAATATTTTGATAATGTTTGAAATCCAGCTGGTTCCGAATGTCTCTGGCCAATGGCAATGTTAATGTTATCACTTGACAATAAGATCGGTTTGGGTATCGTTTAATTGGTTATCTGTTATTGACTCGAAATCACAACGCGATTTATGCACACAGGTTATCTTTAGCGTTACTAGATTTAGTTGGTTAGCGGGGTCTAGGGGTCTAGATTGCAGATTGTAGATTGTATATTGTATATTGTATCTAGTATCTTGTATCTTCACGGAGCCGCGCGAGACCAGGGCATTTCTTCTTGTCCTGGTCAATCTAAACTAAACATCGCCGCGAATCGAACTGAAACTCAACCGAACTGAAGAAGCAACGAAACTCTCGGCGCAACGCAAAGCAGCGCAGCGCAACGAAAAACGAAGCGATGAGATACGAGTTGGTTTTGGATTGGATTGAAGTGAAATGAAATGGACTGGGACTGGGACTGGAGTAAAGTGAAGAAACGAAACGAACGACACGAGCGAATAAACTACGCAAAAGATTTTACGTTTTTATTTTGTTGTATATTTGCGTACATATATTTGTGATTTTGTTGTACTTGTTTCTTATGCAGCCCCCATGTACTGCGATGTATGTAATTATGCATATATATCTGTATATACGCTTGCGTGTGTGTCTCTGTTGGGGTATCGGTTGCGGTGTGTGTGTGTTTGGTTCCCGACCAACGTCGATCGCTCACAGCTGTTCAAGTGAACTGACTGCAAAGTTTACGATTTGAGTCCGCAGCACGTAGATACAGATACATGCACCCATACCACCGTCAGATACATTCGCCTTCGGTGTGTGTGCGCGAGAGCGAGAGAGCGCAGGTTTCGTGCGAGAGCGAGTGAGAGTGTGTGTGTGCGACGGTTCAGGAGCGGACTTACAGTTAATGCTGGGGGAAAGCTTTAATTTAACATTTATCATGTTGCATTTCATTAAATTGTTGTTACATTCCTCGCACTGAGAAGTAGTTCTTATACATCACTCTTTCCTATTCAAAACTTTGTAGCGCCCCTCTCACTGGCGCCACCTGCACTCCACCCCTGGGTTTGTTGATATCAACTGTTGCAGTGAGCTGCCAGCTGGTGTGTGAGTAACTGAGCACGACATACATATAATCATTGGCTGCGACGCTTATGAATCAGCTGTTCCATGTGTATTAATCATATGGCTGTTTGATTAATCTGTACGTGTGTGCATGTACTGGCGAGAATATATATAGTAAGTATGTATGTGCGCATGAATATATCAATCTGGCTTCTGTTTATTTCAGACAATTCTGAACGCTTTCGAGTACGGAAAATCAGAATAACACATGGATACTATACGTATTCCCACACACAGATACTCACTATGCTGCCATGTACTACAAGATCTGATATAATATGCATAAAAATGGCATGCAGTTAAAGTCGTATACTTAAAAAATACGCAGGAATATAAAGATAACTATACATTTTTACAGATGCAAGTTCGATGTATACATATACTATTTATCTACAGAATGACGCAGCGGAACATGCACTTGCATTTTCATACAGTGTCAGGTATAAATATCGGTTAAAGAACAATGTACATACGTGCATACGTATGTATGTATGCACATACGGGTGTGCATGATTTAATTGTGCTCTGACACACGGAAGTAATCGTGTTGATCGTTGCGACCACAATATTTTATCTTTAGTTTTTGAGAAGCATTTTTGTAAAATACTATTTTCATTAGACTTTAATTTAAGGGAAACATTTATGCGGTAATGGTTTTATAACTCGTTCTTTTCATCGATAATTCGTTAAAAATATTCATCTTTGATGAATCATAATCATATTCTTCCCTTGGAAACATAGATGAACTTAACATGGCTTGGAGGTTCTAGACGTCTACACGTAGGCTAATCATGATTAAAGTGTTCCTGACTCACCAAGTTTTCCATCGATTTTATATTACTTTGAATTTAAATATTCTACATTTTTAATCCCTGCCTTGTATACTAACATTTTTCTTTTAAACTTTTTCCTTTTAGAAAAATATTGTGTAAACAAAGAAAATATATCTATCATTTTTATTGAGAACTTTTTCAAAACAATTTTTTTTTTTAATTTTTAAGTTTATACCGCTGTTGGCCAAGAAAAAAATGTTGTACCAGCAATGATTCTTTCTTTACAAAATGGAAACGATGCTGAGGTTGAGCAAATCGGAAAATAATCCCTTTAAAATAGATTATATGAGAATTTGTTTTATTTATTAGCATGATCATTTTTTTTATGATCATTTTTAATAAGAAAATATTCCTATACATAGTATTTTGATTCCTGTCCCAAGACTTAAATTCGAACAATAACGTTAGAAAAAGATTTCAATATAGACTAGGCGTAGCCAATTTGATTCGAAAAATGTAAGGCAAGAGTTTTATGAAAACAACACAATCACAGTAACTGGTGAACCTTAATTCAAATCCTATTTTCACATGGAGGTGCTCAGGCCAACATATATTCAGTTTGTAAACCAGTTTTGTACGAGACACTACTATTTGCTTAAACTAAAAAACTGATAAAATTGTATACCATAAGTTTAATACTATTTTCCTCTTTATAAAACAAATTTTTGTGAAAAGTTATACATATATTCGATAATATTTTTGACCAAAGAAACAAATTTCAAACATGGAGGAAACTCCTAGCATGTTTTTCGGACGCGAAATATGCTATTATACTATGCAGGATCCTCGGGGTAACGACATGGCTAAGTTGTGCTTTAACAATTACATGAGGGAGTATAGGAAGCGGTATCTCGAACACTACACAGAGGAGCAAATACTTGAGGCAGCTTCTGAGCAGTGGGAGAAGTTGTCCCTTATCCATCAGTTCCAGTACTATCCGGTAAGTTACTAGTCCACCAGTATACACAACCGATAGTTATATAACCCAAATAATGCTGAAGAATGGGAGGCTAATGTCAAACGCTTCTTCCCACAGAACACAGAAAATCCTATGGATCGTACCTATGCTGACCATATGATCAACAAGGAGAATATGGAATTGGAGAAAAGTGCCCCAACAGATAGATGTTGCCCGAAAAGGAGGAAGTCCAAGTGCAGCAAACCCAAGAAATGTGGCGGCAAACCGAAACCCAAGCTAACTTGTCCCGTGAAGAGGTCAAGCTGCGCCAAACCGAAGGCGTGCCCAAAAATAAAGCCAGTGTGTCCCAAGTCAAAGCCATCTTGTCCTACACGATCGTGTCCCAAGCCATATTGTCCTACACGATCGTGTCCCAAGCCATCTTGTCCCAAGCCATCGACACCATCGTGTAGGAGGTAATCGCAGATTCCCAAGTCCTGGCCTCTTTCCACATTTCGGCTCGTCCTAAAAAGGATATGTTCTATAAAACTATGTGCTTTTGATATAAAAGTACTTAAACCCAGATTATATGTTCATATGGGTGGGCCTATATTGGGGTAGTTCAGTTATTCAAAAGGCTGTCCATGTACTACGTGCTGCCGATTTTTTAAAAACAACCCGCAATCGCTAGCATATGATTACACAATACATGAACAGCCCCTAATCGATTTTGTATGATACTTAACAGCAAATGTTATCGATATATCTTATTTAAACATTAATTTCGATAAGCTGGAGAAGCCATTTTGAATTTGAAAAATTTGTAGGGTGCGCGGGTGAATGTTCACAACGACACTACAGCCAAGGTGATTCAACGTCTGTTATCGATAAATTTTCAGCTCTCGTGAAAAAGTATGGAACTATTCTGGTATAAAACGTGTAAAACTCTGAATATTACTGTGCCTGGACTTTATATCTCGCTATATACGCTAGAAACGAAAGCAGAACTAGCCTACAACTGAAAAACACTAAATTTGAAACAGTCGGATGCACGATATACGTAACATTTCATCATATGTGTGCGTTATTTCACTCCATATTACATTAGTTAATCGCAGTAATCATGGATAAGTCTGCCTCAAATTAAGCTGGCCACGATGCCACCCAAAGCCAAGTTCAAGAAAATGGCCATTCGCAAGGGATTCCCACCACAGCAAACGCAAACCTGTGTCTTTAAGTTTAGATGTCGAAATTTCACACCCTTATGGGCGCGCTGTTTGACCCCTTCCTCTTTGTTCTCCGCCTGATTGCGAACATGAGTTCCCCCATCTACGAGCAATATCGATGCGGGCCGTCGCGTCCCCTTTCCGCTGGCTCCCGTTCCCTGTGGAAGCCAAACAAGGTGCACCAGGAGGCACCCGAGGTCAAACCGCTCGAAGTACCCGAGGATCTGCGAATTCCGCAACTGCAGTCAGACCCCCTAGATCCGCTGGCCACCATGATGTCCTTTAAGCTGATGGCCATGGACGTGGTCAGCCAGATGCAGACCGCCCTGCAAAACTGTGTCAATGCCCAGAGTCCGCCCGTCGCCAAGATGGCGGGACTCGAGCTGGACGCCTTGCGCCGCTGCGTGCCGTCCTCCTGCTACTTCTTCATCGACCTGCATCCGCATCACGGCTTCAAGGAAACCGCAGAGGAGGCCCCCACTAGTCAAGTGCCCAGTGACAGGAACAACAATGCAGGAAGCTCAGGAGGGTCGGCTGCCAAGAGCTCCTTGCAGCGGCAGCGGAGCCTCTCTGAGTGCAGCGAGGATAGCTTCATTTGCTTCGAGGACGACGCAGAGGAGGAGGATAAGGATAACGAGGAAGACGACGAAGAGGACGAGGATGATGATGACGACAGCAGCGTGCAGTTCGCGGCATGCGGCGAAGAAGACGATGCCGAGGAGCTCAAGGCCTGCGAATGCAGCAATGACAGCTCGACTTCCGTCAAGAAGGTGGGTTTTCCCATTTCCAACTTCGAAATGGCATTACTAATCAATTAACAAATAATACTTACAGGTTCGATTCAACATGAAACCCGAAGTTCACGTGATGCTCGCCTGGGACTACGCTTATCGGGCTGCCAGGAAGAGCGAGTGGCAGGTGATGGCGCGGGATCGGGCTCGCTTTCAGCAAAGAATTAAGCGAATTTCACCGATTCTTAACGCCGTCCTGACCCCAGTCCATCGGGAAAACGTCTACCAAGCTCGATTCTTGCACGAGGACTAGCCTGTCTTCATACCTGATGTAACTTTTGATGTACAGATTACAGTTTAGAACGATTACAGCATTAAATTAAGCACAAGTTCTTTGCGTGTATAAAGTTACCAATTTAGCCACTGCGTTCGTGATTTATTTTATGAAGCCAAAAACTGTTTAACCCTGTAAAGTATATCAAAACCAAGTACACCTTTCTTCACCCTTAGTTTTAGAGCCCTAAGAAATTTGAATTTGTTGATAACGGGATAAGCATAAATAATAATGTAAAACTAAAAATAAATTAAGCATTAAACATATCTCATGGTGTATTCTATTCTTCACTTGATTGCATGCTTCCTGTACAGAATCCTCAAGTCATTCACAAAAGAACAAGATCAGGCAAAAGCTTTGCAGTGTACGCGGGTTAAAGATAAGCCCTGAATAGAAACAGATAAGACGACAGTTTGAAAAATTAACGTTCAACATGGAACCGTAAATTTTATGAACGTTATCATGTTTAATCATTTATTTATTTCATGATTTCTTCAGTCGTTTGCAACTTAATATTGATAATCTCCCGAGTTTATTTCGCCAATTGATAAACTCCACCCGAAAATATGAGCTTGTGCTCTCTGACTTTGCGCTGCAAAAAGTGCTTTAGTTCGTCCTGAGTAAACTCCACCCCGCCACTGTGAGAGGCAAACAACTTCAGCATCTGATGGATACGGTCTATTGGCATGGAGTCCAGGTTCGTGAGCATGCCAACAATGTAGGACCAGAAAACCTAGAAAAAATAATAACTTGTAAATGTATTAAAGCAGCCGGAGTTTAGCAAACTTACTTGGAGTTCTTCTTCCCTTTGATCACTGGCTGAAGCCATGGCCGATTCCAAATCCTCTTCGTCGGCTTCTGCGAGACTCATATCTTCGAACTGGGATTTCTCCGACTCCTTTTCCAACAGCGTAAATATTCCTGGTGTTGTTTCGGAAATCAACCCGTGATTTTGCCAAAAACTCAGACGCCGCCGCAGAGCGGAGGGTGGAACTTTTGTAATAGAACTCAGGTCCTCGATAGTCCATTCATCTGAAACATATTAATTCGACGTTGTATATCCGACGGGTCGGATTGTGGAATACAGTTTCCTTACTCTTGTTTTGGAAATGGTATATGATGACCGCCAATGTGGGGCTCACAACCATTTCCATGGTTCGGTCCCCGATCTCGATTTCAATATTTACACGACCAGTCACAGTACGCCAGTTAAGCGTACGGTTTCCTTTGTAAGCCTCATAGGCCTTCGTATACTTCTTGAACTCATTTTCGATCTCCTCGGGCAGTTGGAGACTTTCCTTATTGAATGACGGCCAAAACTGTGCAGAAACAATCAGTGAGGAGATGTCGAATAACTGGTCTATAATAAAAAAGGTTCCATTAAAACCAATCAAAATAATTCAAATTGAAAGTAACCCACTTTCAGTACGGTTGCTATCGCTATGGATGTGCGCATTAATTCTTTTCGAATCAGTAACGTCTTTCAACATCACCTCACAGCTGTGTAGTAGAGATTCCCCAAAGCGTATCTTCAGCAGTTCTAGATTTCGAATTTCCTTTTCGGAATTGAAATCTAGCTGAGCCAGCAGTCTATCTGCCATCAGATTTCGATACTCCGTCATAAACAGCTCCTTACTTCCGTATATATCAACCACCATTGATATAATGTCCGCTGACCTCATTTTCCGCGAGCTGTTGTACTGCATGATACTGGCATCTATTCCAAACGGATCTGGTTCCCAATTTTCCCAGTTGCTGAACTCATCAGTGGCAGAGTCCTTGCCCTCCTTAATGGACTCTCCCTTGGCGAGTTCCTCGGATAAGTCGGTGGGTCCCTCTTCAGTGAGCCCCGTCACTACACGTCGCACCGTGTCGTTTCGCTTCCGTAGGTAGTCCTTGATGGGAGCCGTTACCATTTCCAAGATAACTCCTGTATTATCCAGATGACGAATAGCTTTAATCGCTGCCACATAACCGGTTAGTATATCCATGGTGTTGACTCCAGGATGCAGAATTCTTGCTTCCAGCGAGCTTCTAAGAGATTCAGTCAGGTAGACTCGCATATCAATTTTTTCCATGCAAATCTTCAAGTCATCTATTGCCGGAATTGAATCCGGATAGTCTGTTTTCAAATTTGTAAAATCAGTAAGCCCCGAGCTTTTATAATGAGTTCTAAGAGTACATACCAATAATAATGCTGAAGAACTGGCCAATAACGCTCTGAGCAAATGTTTCGTACATAAAGTAAGTTAGTTTGACTTTGAAGGATTTGACAGACTCGGGAACTTCCGCATCGCTAATACTATCTTTGGACTTCCATTCTGTGAATATGTTTGTTAGCCAGGACATTATAACATCAGACAGCCACTGCAAAGGTTGTTTAAGTTCTTTAGTTGCAAGTTAACAATAGAGAGGCAATCCACTCACGGTTTCAAGCTGCTTAAGGTGACTCCTATCGAAAATGCCCATGCAAGTGTCGTTTATATGCTCCTTGATTTTTAGCTTAATAAGAGCTGTTAAAGCACTCCCTGTAAGGCGATCTATGAGGTTCATCTCGAATAGCTTCATATTGGTCTTGTTGACCATTTCCGTCAATCTCTGACAGCAGCACTGCTCCACATCGAAGTTGCACCCGACGCACAGGAGCTCATCGAACACATCTGAGTCTGAAAAGCAAAGCGTGTAAGGATGGGAACTGGTGGATGGTATCTGTATATAATTCATACCCACTGTGGCCAGGGCAAGATTTGAGGCTTTGGTGAAGAGCTTGAAGTGCACCCAATAGAAGGCCCCGACTACTACACTGAAAGTGGGAGGCAGTTGAGCCAGCAAGGAGTCCCTTAAGCTATTCCTGATCCCATCCTCCTGCATTAACTTTACCGAATTCGGGACGGGTTTTCCCTCAGTTCCAATGAGCTGGAACAACCTGGGTTTAACCTGCATCAGGCTCAGGAAACCATCGTGCAGTTCGTTGATGGCATCTATGAACTGGGTGAACAGTCGGTTCTTATCGGGCAGTGCTTCAATGGCCAGAGCTTGGTCATCAATCCCGCTCTGCAATTCCGCCGGCACCAAGCCGGCATGAAAGTGTTTCCAGAACTTTGGCACCAGGACATTTCGAATAGTAGACTGGATTTCTAGATCAACTAGGGCCGCGAAGGTGTCTATGCTTCCCAACATCTTCAGATGCTTTCGCACATTTTCGAATACCTTCTCCTCAACTGGATCACTGGAAACCGCGTTCTAAAAAAGGTGCTGTGGCTATTAGAACCAAACCTTTTCAGTTAATCATAGAAGTGAACCTACCGCTCCACCCAAGACTGGAAAAATCTTCAACACATCTGCCCACAGGACATCAAAGTCGCTCATTGTTTCTGTTAGATTACTTTTTGCTATACAAAAACATTTCTCAAATTGCTAAATCAAAAAGCGAATGGTGATGACAGTGTTATTATCGATATAGCGGTTTCTATAATACGTATCGATAGACGATAGTTTCTTTATTTATCAGATACTATATATCTTAAAAAATTTCAACTGAAATATTTTTTATTTTCATTATGACACTGGCTTTTATGTTTCCATGAAATCGTATCATATTCATCCAGTTCCCAACAAGAAACCAACCCATTAAAGTTCTCTTAGTGAGTTACCATTTCCATCAGCCATCCCATAAATGCACAACAGTTTACTGCAATACTTTATATTAATGGATACGGGTAGGACAGTAGCCAAAAAGTAAAAAACAGCACGTTTAGAAATATATCTTCATGTTCTGGCACACACAAAACAGTTAGAATTAAAATTAAAATTGCATACGACTTATTTACATACATACAAATTGAGATTTAAGAGCCAGCGTAGATCTTGCGTAGGAATATTGTTAGATTGCGAATTTATTTAATTTTATTGTACTGTGTGCGTCACCCGACACACGCCGTGTTTTAGCCAATATGAATTGGATGCGGATGCCAGTGGCTAGCGACTTAAGGAGTATAACTAAGAGTAGTTTCTATCGTATCTTCAAATGCGTCTGCTGGTGCTTTTTCAAGTGGTCGCTCCTCACGAATCGGCGACAGCACTGCGGGCAGGCGTAGGGCTTCTCGCCAGTGTGCGTTCGTATGTGCCGGTTGAGGTCGTCCTGCCGCTTAAACCGCTTCTCGCACTGCCGGCAGCGGAAAGGCCGATCCTGGACGAACTGGGGCATCCCGTAGGTGCCGGGACCGTCCGCCGGTGGTAACTGAGAGAGGGTATGTACAATTTCATCGACCGGCTCATATTTCACCTCGGGCTTGGCCTGGTCCAGGAAAGATGGCAGCTGGCTCTGGTTCTGGCCCTGACTCGGATGCTGGTGGTCCGGGGTCACGATCTGGTACTTGTCGCTGTGCTCTGGCCTTTCCAGTTTGATCTTCAGCGGCTTGTGGTGGCAGTCGACGGACGGCTGGGGCTGATTCTGCTGCTGATGATGGTGGTGGTCCATGTTGGGCTCCCCGCAACCAACCATCGCGGCTATGAAGTGAAAGCCCGAGTCCGACTCCGACTGCGAATGCTTTTTCGAGGGCTTTAGTCGCATGCCGCCTCCGCCTCCGCTGGTCGGCAACGATTTCTTATGCGGGCTGCTCTTTAGCTGGCGGTCGTGGGTGGCCAGGTGCTTGGTGAGGTGGTCGCTGCGTGAGAACTTCTTGGTGCACTGGATGCACTCGAAGGGCTTCTCGCCGGTGTGCGTACGCAGGTGCCTGTTGAGCTCGTCGGAGCGCGTGAATCCCTTGCCGCACTTTGGCTCGCTGCAGACGAAGGGCTTGATGCCCGTGTGCCAGGTGAGGTGGGACCGCAGGTGGGAGCTCTTGCCATAGCTCTTTGTACAGTTGTCGTACGGGCAGACGAACTTGCGCTTGGGATCAGAGGAAGGGGGCGTGGCCATTAGCTTTACACTGGGCATTATCCGGATCTTGGAGTTGCCGTTGTCGCCATAAGGGGAATCCTCCTCCGGCTCAGTCTCAACTCCGTGATGGGGCACGTTCTCCAGGTTCGCGTCGTCGTGCTTGAGCTCCTCGAAAATCGTGGTTGCCCGTATAATCATATCGGACGCCTGCTCGTGAATGTTTGCGCCGCCTAGCGTGGGAAACGCTGGTGGTGGTTTCATGGGTTCTATGGGCGTTGATGTCGTCAGCATTTGGGGTGTGGGCGTGTTGGGTATTACTTGTGACATTGCGCTTACGTTCGGGGTTCGCTGGCGGCTATCTAGAGTATCTGGAATCGAAAATGGAGGGGCTGTAGAACCAGGTGTGCGCCACGGCCGCTCTTTAATTACCCAAATTGCGTTTATCCAAAACTACACTCCTGTACAGGAAACAGCATTCAGTGGGCGTCGGCCTCGGAATTATCAGTTTTGTGGTCCCTCCTCACCATAGCCAGCTCGGAAAACAGTCTACATTAAATTCGGGTGCCCCGCGCACATTTTCTAGTTGTTTTGGGCTAGCGCGAATGCATATTCCAGCGAATTTACTTATTTTACTTTATTTTATTTATATACTGTAGTACATCTATTTAATTGCGATGAGATATATCGACTAGTCGATAACTTCAAATGATGCGAGTCTCTTGCGTGCGTGAGCGGAGCTATCGGTTGTCCTAATTAAAAAATACTGCATAAAACTGATTGATATCGATAGCTGTCTGATGGTCGATAACATTGGTTTGCCCATCCCCAATCTGCACTGAAGTAAATTCCTGGAATGCAATTTAGCCAATTGTTAACAACTTAAAATGCCAAATAAGTCCGACGAGGCGGGCGATACTCAACTGGCCAAAAGGCAGAAAAGGAAGCAGACTATTTGGACGCGCGAGAAGATTGCTAAGCTAATTGAACTGTACCGCGCATCGGACTGTTTATGGAACCACTACTCCGAGCTGTACAAAAATAAGGATTGCAGGACTAAGGCCATCGATTCCATTTGCGCTTCCCTGGGGATAACTAAAAACGACTATGGCAAGAAGGTGCACAATCTTCGCAACCAATTTAATTCGGAACTTAAGAAACTGGAGAGACGACTTGAGGAGTCTGGCGGAGATTCCGAGAAGACCTGTCGATGGGAGCACTTCAAAACGCTGATGTTTCTGCGTTCTGTTATAGAACCGCGTCCAGGATATCAGCAAGGACCTCAGTGCAAGGTGCGCTACCTCTATCTCAATATGTAACCCTTAGCTGACCAATCGTTCCTCTTTACCTGTAGAAACTGATCACAAAGCTGGACTTCAGTTTCCCCGATCAAGAAGCGGAAAAGCAGAGCCAATCCTCAATAGAAAGCTTGGAGTCCTTGATTGTAGAAAACGAAACAGAAACCAGTGAGGTTACAAAGGTCAGCGAACCTATTCCCATGCCACCTGAACCTGCGTCACCTTGCAACTCATCTGCTCCGAGTCGGTTGGCAGAAGCACCCACTGTTTCCGCTCCTGTTCATATACCACCCAGTGGTCGTGATCAATGGGACGCCTTTGGCGAATTAATAGCCATTGAATTCCGCAACCTGAACTCTGAAATATCTCGCAAGAGGCTGAAGCGGAAGATAATGCAAGTTATGCTGGAAGTCGGCGAAGAAGATGATCTTGAGCTGCCAAGTGCAAACAGTTGATTTTAGAATTAAGTAAGAGCATCGTTGTACACTTTAAATTTAAATGTTAAATAGATACAGCACACAGATCATTCAAAGCACTTTGTATGTACATTTTAAGCACCAATCTCAGTAAACCGGAAGTGGACAAAACTTCAACTTGTTGAGCAATAAAAAATCTGAATAACTTGTACTTGCTACTGGTAATTAATTTGCATATTTATTCGGTACAGGAGATACATATGTAAAATCAATGGGACCTAACATTACGAAAACAGTCGACAGCTGTTGGAAATTCTTGAAGGACTGAGAAAAGCACTAATTTCAACAGATTATAGATAGATGTGAGATTTATAGGACGTACATTTGTCAGAACTTAAAGTCCTTAATGGCCTGTGGCAGATCAGGTAACTTTATATCTTTAATCTGTTGCGGAATGTTCATACTCTTTACGGCGCTCACAGCCCGAGCTGGTGCTGCCGAAATACCCGCCTCCTGCTTGACGATCTTGTTCTGCTCCTCGATCCTGGCCATAATGTCGTTCATATTGGTCTGCAGGACCATTCCCCCCATGACCAGTTCTAAAAGAAAGTTTAGATGACAATCTAGTAGGGATACGTTTGAGTTATTTCCCAAACCTGAGAGAATGTGGTGGACGGCATCGGCGTGAAATATCAAGTCCAGCTCACATACGTTTTCGAAACACTTGTCGAGCGTTTCCACAAAGACCTGGATCAAGTCAAGGATTCCCAGTTCGCTTTCTGAGGAGTCCACACAGAAAACAAAGTACAGCGTGGCATAGTGTCTGTAGATAAGCTTGTAGTCCGATCCGCCAATTAAACTAAAGAAAGCAGAGGTTATACGTATTCCGGGTGTATGTTCCCAGGAATTACTCACCTTCCGCCCTCTAGAAAGTTGCAAACATTATCATCCCGCTTGGAAACCAACTGAAACGTCTCCTTGATTATTTGTTGCTGCAGACTTTCATCCTACAAAGAAAAATCGGCATGATATTATTGAGAGCACCTCTATTATAATACAGCACATACGAAATACTGATAGAATTTCGATAGCCTAGGCTTCCCATGATTATTAAAAACAAGTATAGCTTTTATCATTTCAATTTTTTTGATAGGTAAAAAAATGTAAATGTTGTTTAAACTGCCAGCTGTTTTGCTTTTCCGACGAGGGCTGCAAAATCAATACTTGGTGTAACTTTCAAAATATCGATACTTCGTGTACCAAAGGTTTTCTTTACAAAATCTATTGAAAAATATAAATATTTAATCTTCTACGAAAGTAAAGTTGTTTTTAAAATCAAATTATTTTCAAATGTGCTTTAATTTTTCCGTTGAAAGTTTTGGAATTCATAATAATTACCCATCTCTAATACCTCTTACCTCGCGGTCCGCGTTTTGTTTATTTACTATTTCTAAGATAATATGAATATTTTAACAAAAGTAAACTTCAACTGCAGGTACTATTGAATTTTCGTTTGTATATCATATTGGTAAAAATATATTTTTTTCAGAGTGAGCTCGGTTTTAAACAAAGAAGTGAAGCAATATGGAAAGCAGTTTATGTTTGATGCGAAAGAAGAGACCTCTTGGACTTCCGATGAAGTATAAGTTTATTTATTAATTAAGAAAAGTATTAATTATTTATAACGTTTTTTTAGGGAACCCCCCAATGGATTACCGTCAGTTTCGATGAGCCACAAACCATATCTGGATTTAGTTTTCAGTTTCAAGGCGGATTCGCTGGCCTGAAATCGGAAATGATAATGTACTCCGCTGATGGAGCCCAAATACATCAAGAACCATTCTATCCAGAAGATATAAACTCTCCCCAGCTGTTTCAGGTTAAAGATACAGTCCGGGAAAAAGCTTGTTCAAAGATAAAGTTTATCTTCGAGTCCAGTACAGATTTGTTTGGTCGAATCATTGTTTACAATCTGCAACTGTTAAGCTAGTCTAAGTATTTATGTAACTAGATTTCTACAAAACTCTATTCTTATCAAAGTGTATAAAAGTGGAGTTATCTATGTTTATATTATCAAAAAAACATTGAGCCTTTAATGGGTGGGTCATATTTATCAGCTAAATATTTGCTGACTCACCCTGCCTGTGCTAAAACTGATGGGGTATCAATTTCATTAATTTTTTTCAGACAGGGTAAGCCCTTTTAAGGGATGACGAAAGCCCAATGGATGTGTCCAAATTTTCAGAAAATTTGGGTCCTTAGCGATAAATTAAATTCAATTCATATTAATTTACATCGTTTCAAATTGCATATGACATTGGATCCAGGTTCAAGGGGACTTCTTTCACGCCATTCCCTAATTAGAATACCATTTGCATGGCCCTCGATCGTGAAACACGCAACTTCTAATCGAAGGTGACACTTCAACCCATGTCTTATCACCCCTCAAAGTGTCTTTGAAGAGTTTCGCCAATTCAATAAAAAGTTACGTCATATATATTGCACCAAAACCATTGTTTATTTGTCCAAAACCACAAAGATAATTTTAGGCGTAGCTAATATTTCGAATGCTTCAGTTAGACTCGTTGTTTATAAGATGAAACTATGCTGCAACCGAGATTTCCAGGCGAGGGCAGTTGGGGATTCCACATTCCAGGTCGGGGGATGCATCCTGGTGCCAGCAGCTCTCCGAGTTGCAGAACATGCATCCGTTGGGCGAAAGCGGTACGTTTGTCGAAAGGTCCACCATTTCCCACACTTTCTTCAGATCGGTAACCAGGGCGTTCATCATTTCGAAAGTGTGGAATGGAGTGGGGGCCAGTCGAAGTTTCTCCTGGCCGCGGGCTACGGTTGGGTAATTAATCGACTGCAGGTAGTGTCCAAATTGTTCAATTAACACGTTTGAGATTTGACTGCTTTTCAGAGGGTCTCCAATTTTGATGGGGATGATGTGGCTGGGCGTTTCTTCGACGGGAAAACCTGAAATTCGCAAAATAATATTGTCAGTAAACTGAAAGTTAAGTGCCTTTTTCTATACATGGCCACCACTTAAATTTAAAAATAAATCGAAAGTGCGAGAATAACCTTCAATTCGTATTACATAAAGTCTAAAATTACACCATACCTTCTCGTTTCAGCAAGTTTTTCAAGTAGGAGACGTTCCGCTGGTGCATGTGGCGCAGCTGACGACCCTCCTCCGATGCCAGGATGTTTACGGCCTCCAGGGCACCACATAGCACTGTGGGCGGCAGCGAGGTGGTGAAGATAAAGCCAGCCGCATACGATCGGATCATGTCGACGAGCTTTTCGGATCCAGCTATGTAACCGCCAATGTTACCAAACGCCTTGCCCAGGGTTCCCGATATGATGTCCATTTTGTGCAGCACCCCATCCCGTTCGCCGACTCCGGCTCCATGGTCGCCGTACAATCCCACGGCGTGCACCTCGTCGATGAACGTAATGGCCCCATACTCGTGTGCCACGTCCAACAGCTCCTCAAGTGGGCAGATAGCCCCAGTCATGGAATGTACCGTTTCAAATGCCACGATCTTGGGCACGCTCTTGTCCGTCTGCTTCAGCAGCTGGTGCAAGTGGTCCACGTCGTTGTGCCGAAAGATGTGCTTTGGCACTCCACTGTTCCGGATGCCCATGATCATGGAGGCATGGTTGCCTGCGTCCGAGAAGATCTGGCAGCCAGGTAGAAGCTTGGCGAGCGTGAAAAGCGTTGAATCATTGGCCACGAAACACGAGGTGAACAGCAGGGCGGCCTCCTTTTGGTGGAGCTCGGCCAGCTTTTCCTCGAGTCGCTCGTGATGGAGCGAGTTGCCCGAGATGTTCCTGGTGCCCCCCGCCCCCGATCCGTGCATGTTAAGGGCCTCCTGAACGGCCCTCTTAACGCTTGGATGGGCGGACATGCCCAGGTAGTCGTTGGAGCACCACACCGTGATGGGCTTCTCCGCCCGCTCCGAGTACTCCAGGGCATGGGGGAACAGCCCGTCGCCCGCCAGGCGGTTGACCTTCTTGAAGACCCTGTAGGAGTGGTCCCGTTTCTTCTTCATGATCTGCTCGTTGAAGAAGCGCTCATAGGGAAAGGTCTCCGAGGTGGAGGTTGCCTTAACAGGGTCAGCGGATGCGGGGACACCAGCAGCCGCACCAGCATTTGCATTAGCCCCCGTCGAGTAAGACCTTGTAACACTTGCGGCGACGAGTGAAAGTTTCTTCTCGCCCGCACCCAAGGTCTTTCCAACCACGGGGCAGTGACTCCCATAGGATTGGCACAGTGTCTCCGCGTAGTTGCGGATGAAGCTGGCGGTGAAGCGGTTCAGGAACGGACACTGCATGACGAGGCGATTTCCCACTTTTGAAGACCCGACCTAAATCAGCGAACTTTGAAAGTGAAGTGAGGTCTTTTGAAAATTATGCAAGAATTGGGGGAGGGGAAGGTGGGCAAGTGTGACCGGAGCTTGTGCAGATATACTGCCTGCCAAATAAACAGCTGTCTTAGAAAAATACCAACAAACAGGCTCAAACAAGTGTTTGTTGCGGTTTTCAAAAGAAAGCCGTTACTAATTATTAAAATATTTGAAGATTACAATGAAATCAATAATTTATTTGATTGAATAGAAATTTGGTTTTTTATTAGAGTAAATTTGAAGTGAATCTAGTTCAATTTGACAAAGGTTTCATCATCTACGATCGCAAAATTGTCCTCCCGGAAATGACGCAAGTTCTCGTTGAAACATTTGCTGCTTTCGTTATGCAATTTAGTCATAACTGCTTTAATGTTTTTGACTCCTGCCGTCTTCGATAAGTCTGAGAAATAGTCAATCTAGAAAAGAGCAGAACTTAAGAACTAAATGATTAATTAAATCAAATTTCAAACTCACCTGTCTTGGACCCAACATATGAGCATGTCGTTTCCTGTAGCCATCCTGCCAAAGCTTGGTCATTCTATCATAGGTGTCCTTAAGCATTTCCTCTGTGGATGGCAGAACATTCGATCCATTGTAGTAGCTCATGATGAACCTGGCTTGGATATCCATCATTTGTGCGGCACAAACATAGAATGGCAACCCAATCAATGACATCGATGGGTTTCTTATGTTAATGCACTGCTTGTACAACTCCTGGACGTAGTTGTCCTCCACATAGATTCCGGAATTCACTGTCAAGAAGGGAAATGCGTACTTGTATCCTGTGCAAAAGAAAATGGTGTCGAACTCCTCGTAGGTTCCGTCCACAAAAAAGGCGCCATTCTCGTCGAGTTCCCGAACATCAGGCTTCTGCTGGACATTTTCAAAGAATATGTTTTCTCCTATGTCAGTCAAGTGGTGACTTATGGTAACGCGTTTCGCCGATCGGGAAATTATATTAGACAGGTCCATGCCACTTGGACCAGCTCCGATAACCAGAACGGATTTACCTGGGTTATTAATGATATTTTGTATAAAAAATCTTAACTTATTTTTAAAAGACTTCTTGTTCCAAATACCTTCAAAGACCTCTCTTGTTCTGAAATCATGGCTGTGCAAATACTCGCCCTTAAAACGATCCATATTCGGAATTTTACTGTAATTCGGGGTGTGATAATGCCCATTGGCCACCATGACCTTGTCGAAGTAATGGAACTCAATCTTGTTTGTGACTACATCTTTACAAAGAACCTGCAAACGGTTCGATTAGATAATGATTTACTAAAACTAACATTTTAACTCACTTGCCACTTTGTGTTCCTTTGCACCACTCGAATAACATACGTATTGAACTTTATATGCTTTTTCAGTTGGAAATGATCAGCGTATTGGTTCAGAAAATCACATATTTCATCAGATCTCACGTAGGAAACCTCGTTTTTTCCAATTTCAAAGTCCGGAAAGCCCATTACTTCCTTGGGCAGATTGGTACTAACGAATATTCACAAATGTAATTTCTTTCGTAACGATTTCCGTAAGCACACCTACCGTAAATTTTTGTACATGCTGCTGTGGACATCAATGCCATTGACAACACCTGTGGCTTCATTGTAAACCCAGGTTCCGCCGATTCGGTCAGATAGTTCAAATACAGTGGTCTGGAAACCATTTTCAATCGAGTGTCGGGCACAGCAAAGGCCCGCTGTTCCGGCCCCAATTATGCATACGCTCATTATTATTACAGTTATTGGTTTTTATTAATTGTTTCTAGGTGCGATACGCCGGGACCGCTTTCTACACTCCGATTGCCTTAACGAAACTGAGGATCGCATCGTGATGAACTTTATGGCTTCCCCACTTTGATACCTCCGGAAAGTAGAGTACTTGGATTTCTTTGACAACTTTGAATTTTGCTAAATAATAAATTTAAGATTACGCTACATCACTGGTTGAAAATTTTGAGATTAAATGTTCCCCCTCTCAATAAGTATTTTTGTTACAATAAAAGAGTATTTTGAATTCGCAGTGGAGATCGCTGTGCTAATTCAGTGTAATCGCACTGATAACATTATAAAGCATAAGGCAATCTTTTCCACAAAGCTTCTGTATTCGTTTTGCTTTTTTATTTATAGGCTTATAAGCAGATCAAGCATCCGCATATATTTATTTTATTGATATTTACTTTGTTGATAAGGGTACAAGCATAAAACAATATTCGCTACAGAGGCTGAAGCGTACTCGATTCGTTCTATAGTTCAAGGTATGGGTTGTTATTGGAAGAAACCCAGGGGTAATGTATGAATATTTTTCGTGGCCCAGTCACTTCTTTGACTTTGTCTTTTCCCACGCTAAACAACGCAACCAAATGTGAGAAAATTTGCATGGGTCAGGTAAATTTTACCCGTACGTGACTCAGTCTGTAAGTGATCGTTAAGAACGTCTAACATGGGACTAGCGGCTTGCATATGCACCAAAGTGCTCCAGCTTGCAAGTATCTTTTCAAGATCACAATCGAAGTGACCCAACCCATTTAAACTCATTCAGTCTGATGAAACCTAAACAAGTCGTGTATATTTCATTGATAGATTGCTACAGTGGCTGCGCTGATTGTGAAAAGATTGTCAGACAAACATTCGGAGAGG